GATCCTTGTGGAAATATCACCAATTATTGATTAAAGTATCCTCTTTTTAATGCAACAAGCCGTTTTGAAAAATCACTTTTAGTTCTTGAGAAATAAATTTTTGAAATAATCGACAATTTTTTCGAATTTTGCAATTTTCGCCGATTAAGTTTTAAAAATTCGTATAAAATCCAATCCTTGGAATATGAGTATAAGAATTTCCCAAAGTGTTAATAAGAGTGTCCTCTTTCCAACGAACCAACCCGTTTTGAAAAATAACTGTTAGTTTTTGAGAAAACAATATTTGAAGTTTTGATAAAATTTTTGATGTTACGATTTTCGTCGATAACTTCCAAAATTCGCTGTCAAATTCATTTCTTGAAGGATTCTTGTGGAAATATCACCAATTATTAATTGAATTATCCCCTTTTTAATGCAAAAAGCCGTTTTGAAAAATCACTTTTAGTTCTTGAGAAATAAATTTTTGAAATAATCCACAATTTTTTCGAATTTTGCAATTTTCGCCGATTGAGTTTTAAAAATTCGTATAAAATCCATGTCTTGGAACATGTATATGAAAATTTCTCAAAGTGTTAATAAAAGTGTCCTCTTTCCAACGAACCAACCCGTTTTGAAAAATAACTGTTAGTTTTTGAGAAAACAATATTTGAAGTTTTGATAAAATTTTCGATGTTGCAATTTTCATCGATAACTTTCAAAATTCTCTATAAAATGAATTTCGTGAAGAATCCTTATGGAAATATCGTCAATTAGTAATTAAAGTATCCTCTTTTTAGAGTTGCTTCGTTAGTTAAACCAACATCAAAAAAGTTTATTTTGTATCTTGGATCCAAAGAAATTGACATATCTTATCAGCTTTCTCATTAATTTCATTTTTATTCAAATATCGCTATAATGTGGCAATGTAGAGTATCACTTCAGTAATGCACCAGAAATTATAACCATAATGGCCGTGTAGATATGCCGGATAGCCGGATATCCGGCCGAAGGGGATGCCGAATATTCGGTATCCGGCTTTTCTGAAAATCACTATCCGTTCTATCACTCTTGCAAACCCAAAAAGGTATTTTGACAAACAGTAACAGATAGTTCCTTAACTATAACTTTGTATTCAAAAACGTTCCTGAGTGATTTACTTTTATTAACATGCCGAGCAGCCGGTTTTGCCATTATACAACCTCTTAAATACAAATTTTGCTTACTGTGGCTTAGTTTTTGGAAACTGGCAAATATTTTCTTACCACATGCGGCAGATATCTTATTTTTATATTTACAGCGACTCTGTGGAATCTTTTTTTTTGTTTTCTTACCGATCGCATTTTGCATCTGATTTCCTCTCCTTCGCGTTCTTAAGAAGAAGAATAAGAAGAAACATACATTT